TATAGTATAACCTAAGCTTCGCTTAAGGTTAGACTTCTATAGCTCTTTAGTAATTAACTTAGTATTTATCCTTATAAATACTCTCAGCTTATTTTCACTATAAATTACTTATTAAGTCTAAGACTGATCACTTTAGTTTCTAAAAGACTTAATCTACTATAGCTTATAACCTACAACTTAGACTACAACCTCAGTATACTATTATAACATATCAATCCCCAGCTTCTATTAGCAGACCCTACTATTAGATAGCTAACTATAATATTTAACTATAATAAAGAAAAGCGCTAAAGACTTATTAGTTAGTGAGAATATAAGCTTTATAGACCTAAAGTGTAATAATTATTTGCTTAGAGGATAATATAGATAGGTTGTTAATAAAGGAAGGAAATACTACTTTAACAGCTTATAGAGGGGATATAAATAGATAAGTAAGCAGGGTAATTAAGGCTACTAATTTAATAGTAATTATACCTACCTTCTCACTTTAAGCTTTAATTCACCTTAGCAGCTATTTTTTATTTTATCTTTAATAAAATAAGTGATTATAGTTACCTACTTATATCTATAAATTACTACTATTTTATTTATAACCCTTATTTATAAACTTTAAGTAAATAACTATATAACTACTATTTATATCTGCAAACTATTACTAAGCGACTATTATATTAATCACCTCTACCTTCTCTATCTTCTAATATACCCTCTATATATCACGCTAATACTACTCTCTCCCCCTCTTTTTCCTCATTTTACTACTTACGTATTATATAGTAATTAATTATATCTATAAAGTGTATACTACACCCTTCTTAAGAACTACTAAGTTTTTGCTATTACCTAATATAGTTAATATAATATCTATTTAGGAAGGAGCTTTTATTAAGGGTCTTATTAAGGCTTATGCAGTTAAGTAACTTATTTAATCTAAGTAGACCCTTAAGACTTTAACCTAGTTATACTTCTAGGTTAACTATAAGAGAGATAAGTTGCTTAAATATATTAATAGAACTGCTGCCTAGCTAGAGCTTATATACCTTAATAACACTCCCTCCCCCTTTAATAAGAAACTAGTTCTAGCGCTTATATAGTTATAACTAGGAGATATTAAGTTATAATAGCGCCTCCTTAATAGATAGGGACTAATAATAGTCTACCTGAGATACCTATAGTTAGATTTAAGGATACTTAAAAGCGTTATAGGCGCTTATAACCTCTAAGGTACTATCTTTACTACTACTATACTAAGTGGTAATAATATTATAGGAGGCTTTACTATAGCTATATATTATATTAGTTAGAGAGTTAGGCTAGCTTTAGGCTTACTTAGAGGCCTCTTATTAGTAGACTACCCTATAGTTAAAGGTATATAATAGTACTACTTTATCCTCTTTGTTAAACGCTTTATAATACTATTTAGTAAAACAGACTAAGTATAAGCTAGAATACTACTAAATACTTTAATAGGATAGATATTTATATATAATAACTACTAGGAAGATAGAGAAGCTGAGAATAGATTTATTATAATTTCTAGAAATATTAAGCACTTCTTTACTAGCTTCTTGCTACACTTTTAATAAGCCTTATTCTAATAGCTTACTATTTTAGATATCTTATAAGTTAGCTCTATATAGTACTTTAGAGTAATTATACTTAACTACTTTAGGTACTTTAATAACTTTAGTAACCTTAGTAGTCTAAATAGAGTAGTCTAAGATATATTAACAGACTAGGTCTAGCGTATTATAGCTAAATTTAATAAAGTCCTATAGAGTTTTAAGTACTAGAGATTTAGGCTTTAATAGCTTATAAATAAGCTGAAGCTGTTATAAAAACTAATTAGTCTACTTACCTTAGAGGTTATTATGAGGTATAAGAGACTATATAATAAGTACTTAAAATATAATAGTAAAGGGAAACCTTTAAACCTACTAAGTAAAGAATAGCTAACTCTGTTAGTACTAAATAGTAAGTTTATGCTAGTAAATAGACCTCTTAGAAGTAGCTATACTATCTAGGTCTAAGATATAAGAGAGATAGTTATTACTAAGCTTAGAGCGACTAGAGGATAGGATATAGCTATCTCCTATATAAGATACCTTTTATAGTAGTTTAAAAGAATAAGGATAATATACTAGTCGCCTTACCTCACTAAAAGTACCTCTTTATAGACCTAATTTATCTTTAGAACTACTTAAGGTGGGCTTATACGCCCTTATAGCCCTATTAGAGCCCTATAGCCTAGAGAAATTAGACCTTATTAAGCTATAAAGTATTATAATAACTTAAATCCTAGCTTAAAGAGTTCTTTATAGACCTAATTTACTACTAACTTTAATAATTTCAGAAGATAGGCTAGCTAGGACCTTATTATATCGCTTAAAATACTAGTTAATCTATATAATACCTAAGGTATCCTCTATATAAAAGACTTCCTCTAAATCAAATATTTTATTATACTAATGCGTTTTATTATAAGAGATACCTACTATAAGGTTTAGATTTACCTACTAAATATTATATTATAGGATACTAACTAAGAAGAAGAGGGGGCTATTAATATAGACCTTTTTATAGATAAGTATAAAGATAACTTATAGAATTCTAATATAGTTATATATTTCTTATAAGTTAAGTAAAGCTACTTTATCTACTTAGTAGTAGACTAAACTAATAAGAAGAGCTACTTTATAGACTTAAGCTTTAACTAGTAGAGTAATTAAGAGTTTATTAATATTATTAAAGCCCTCACTACTTAGTATAAGCTACTTAAAATACCTAAAAATCTTATTACTATTCTACTATAACATATTTAAGTAGTTAATTTAGTATAGTAGCCTAATAGTTATAGCTATAAAGTTTACTATATTAATTAGGTTTACTACTTTATTATAGAAGGACTTCTTAATACTTACTTTAGTAATAATACTACTGCTAATAAGAACTTCTATTATTAAAGTTTTTTACCTCTAGTTAGTAGGTATAAGTTATAGATTACTACTAAGTTTTATAGATATAATTTAATTTATAGGAACCCCCTACTCTATTTTATAATATAGATAGTAGTAGCTTACTTAAGTGAGATAGCTAAGAAAGGAATTATATAGCTATCCTTAGAGTAACCCTCTAGTCTGCCCCCACTAATAAACTTACCTTAAGTGCTTATAATATTAGTTTAGCCTCTAATTACTATTTTATCCCTATTAGAAAGCCTAGCTTTTAGCCCTCTAATCCTAGAGGGGTATAATAATTATAATAAACTTATATTTATAACTCCTAGCTATAAGAGTCCTATCCTACTATTATATAAATCTTTAGCTCCTACTTAAAGCTTTATAACTATAAGTAACTATCCTACTTACCCTCCTAAGTAGCTTATTCTAAAACTAGTAGTAGTTAATTAAGTAGTATATATTAACTAGTATATTAACCTTTAAGCTTAAATAGAAGCTTATATACTACTTAAAACCTATACTTATAGATTTTTAAGACTAAGAGGATAATAAGGATAGGTATACTATAAGCTAAGGCTTAAATAGAATACTACTTATATAGGAGAAGTAAAAAGGGCTTAAGATCGCAGAAATACTTACTATAAGTTCTATTAGTAAATATAGCACTCTTATATACATATAAGTATATAGGGAATTATCTTCTAGCCTAGAAGGCTAGAGGGAAGATAATTAGGGATAATTAGAATAAGGTTTAATAAGCTTACTAGATTTTTTAGCGTTTAGAGGTTAGATTACTAGCCCCCTTTAAGGGGCGAGAAATTAGCTCAGATATTATTATTAATCCTTATAGATTAAAGGTAGAATTCACTTATTTTTTTAGTAAATTTTTAAGCTTTTTATCCTATTCTTTTTATTTAAGATCTATAAAGTAGATAAGAAGTCCTTTCTTTTTTTTTTAAGATTATAAGCCTTAAAACTATAGAGTTATATAGCTACAGTAGCTCTACGCGCCCTCAGGTGCGTATACGCCGCTGCGTTGCATAGCTCTCAGCCGCTGGGCCTACAACTATTTCAATAAGTAGTTATCCCCTTAGATCGCTAGAAGCATCCGCCCGGATAGCAAAACTCACCACTTATTCTAAGATATCAAGTGAGATAAATCTCATCAATACCAACATCGAAGATCGAGTCAAAGGCCGAATGCGTGGAGTAAAACCCAACCAGCCCAAGTGATTCAGGCCGCAGTAGCAACCGGGTTGAATTGGATGATGATCCTGATAGGAAACGTCATACATCGGAATTGCAATATTCGATTCAATCTGAGGCGTGTGTCCAAAAAGGCTGAACTGCAGTGTGCAATATGGCTGGGTTGCCGTCGTACTTCCGCGCAAGAGTAGTCGATCTGGTAGATCTAGCATGACATTCATGAGCCCTCCCCGAAGCAGCAAACGGCAACTGGAGCTAATGATGTAGCGAGAATCGTTATACTCCTTTGGATAGTACACTGCTAAAATCTCGGCATCGAAAGTACGCCGAGAAGAGTCGCGAATCAGACTGTACGTGATCGGACCTTCAATAGACGCCCAATTCCAGGACGGCGCCGGAAGTTCGGTGTCAATTTTTGACATGGGGAAGAAAATAGTTTCATTCCCAGTTGAATCGATACCACTCGTACCAATGCAGCGCCAAAGGAGTCCTGGGAGTATATCCGCTTCCCAAATTCCGGCTAAGCATCGGTCTTCGCTGCGGTCCAGAATCTGTGTGGCCATGGCTAGGATGGGCGGAAGCCGGTCCTTTTCGAAAGAAAGAGACATCATAGTGAACTGCTCGACTATGGATGTGTACCAGTATTCAATCCAATGCGAGTGGCTGACGAAAGGATTCATAATGTTATGTTCGTACGTTTTCCGGTCGGGAAAGTTGCCATAAGTCTCATTGCGACCACACTCGCACCATGACGCCGAACGACACTCCCATGTGACTTCGGAATGTCTGAACGTTAGGAGCCATGGGGTACGAGCCGCTCCTAGAAACACCACGCTAGCGACCAAATGGGTTCCTGATTGTTGTTGCTTTCATGCCGAATTCTTTCACGGGACGAGATGCCCATTGTGACACCACGGGATAGATGGCATTCTGGTCTCTCCTTGAGGAAACCTTCCTCGTCGGCCCGTGCCGTAGCCGCGGTGATAGTGAAATAAGAATTCTCGTAGATGCTCGCCATTGCTGCCGACTCAACTCGCCAATCTTGCTCATCATCTTGAACGATACAAAGCGAGTCGATACACAGGTAGCATACCCCTAATCGCTGTCATACAGTAATGGCGTCTCGGAACGTCTTCGGCATGTCGTCCCATGGAATTCCATCCCTTCGCATGGCGACAATGCTTTTTGTTGTGACACATATCTGTTGCTTGCCCCATCGATGGCTTAAAGCAACGTATCGCTCATTCTCGACGTTCGTTTCCAAGAGGCGAAGACAGTGTTTCGATGTCCCAAGATAAAGAACTCTGCGCGGAAGCGGGATGACTTTATTAGCTCGGCAGTGTCGCAATATTCAATCCAAGAGGCGACAAGATCAATGCCCTGATGAGAGTCAGGAGATTTCGACACTGGGAGAAGATGTCTGATCTGCAAACTATCTGTCAACTTCGAAGGGCCAAAAAGCTCCAGGTTTGGTCGAATCAGGATGGGATTGTTTCCACCAGCTGTGACGTGGTAATATGTATCTCGCTGAAAATCCGTCGGAAACTGTCGGTCTTGTGTGATAGCTAACTGCAGAATCGTAGCAAGTGGACATGTGATTAGAACAGAATCTCGAGTAGTGAATAATCGATACTCCTTGTAATTGAAGTTCTTCCCGTTGACATGTCTGCAAATGCTGCATTCGTCGGGAACATGCCGGGAAAGTCGCGCACCCATTGTTGTGTGCTTTTGCTATTCTTGAGCACTTGATATTGTGTGATAGCAACATGACTGTTTCTCGATTGAGCTCGGTCGCATCATTTAATTAGCTTATGTATGTGCTTCGAAGATGTGCTTAGCCGAGCTGAAAACCAAGTAGGGCTAGACCAGCCAACATGCATCACTAGTAAAATCCGTTTCGTGGAGGCATGCGAAGTGCCCCGAAACCATGATTCGCCACATTATTTCCATTTCAACTACGTACAAAAGAAGCTAGCCCAAATTGGGTTGCTCTTGATGATTCACGCGTCACGCAAGACGTGTTTGGTAACTAGTTTTCCTCAACCAGGTCTGGGTGAAGCTTCCAAACGGCGTTTCTAATCCAATTAGGCCCTTACTTGAGCTTCCACGTTTCCTTGATGAGATCGGCAGCCTTTTCACCAATGCCATAGGCCGGCATCTGCGTGTGGCCACCGTTGAGGGTTGGCATGATACTGCAGTCAGCTACACGCAAGCCTTTGACCCCCTTCACAGTGAGGGTATGGTCCACAACAGCCTTGGGGTCGTCTGCCTTGCCCATTGCGCAAGTACCAGCAGCGTGGTAGCCTAGTTCGTGATGTTAGCAATCATTCAAGGATGTTAGGTAACGGGCGAAGAGCTCACAGGTGGTTGCGTTGTCTTTCACGTAAGGAATCCACTCCTCGCGAGTCGTGTACTTGTGGTGTACAAGTTCGCTTGGCCAAGAACCCTTGACGATATCCTTGGTGCCCTTGCCTTGCATGATGATCTCATTACCAAATCGGCACGCCTCAGCGAGGACCTCGACATCAAGAGGGTCGGCAAGGTAGTTGGTATCGACGACAGGGACCGCGGTGGCATCAGCGCTGCGAAGGGTCACAGTGCCCCGAGATTTGGGGGCGAAGAGCTCGGCAATCATGCTGAAGGCATGCTTGTTGTCGACGGGAAACTTATCAAACTGCTTGGGCCCGCCGTAGCATTCAGTGGTGAAGAACTCAATGTTGGGTTGCTTCGGCGTGAGACCCATCGGGTCACGTCCCTCTTCGCGAGGGGCGTTCTTCCACAAGTCCGAATCGGCGAGACGGTCGTCTAAGCGGGCGTACGCAAAAGCACCGAAGGGAAAGGTCGACAGAAAGCCCGCCTTGTGGTCCTTCCAGAGAGCATATGTCTTCGCAAAGTTATCGCCGTGGTAAACATGATGGTCGTTGGTCAGGCCCTCCTTTTCAGTCTCGTAGAACATGAAAACGATCTTGATGCTCCTGTCAGCAGAAGGTCTGACACGTGTGTGAAGAAGGTAGACTCACAAGATGATCCATCAAATTCTTACCGACACCGGGCAAGTCAACCAAAGTCTGGATGCCGAACTTATCCAGCTCGGTCTTGGCACCAATACCAGAGCGATTCAGGATATTGGGACTGCAGTAGGCACCACCGCTCACAATGATCTCTTTGGCTGCTTTGATGTTGACGGGGGATCCGTCGGGCTTGACTGCACGGACGCCAGTAGCCTTAAGCTCCCCGTTGACGTTCTCGATGATAACCTTGTCAACGTGTGTTTGAGTCATTAGATGCAGATTATCCCTCGTGTTGGCATTTGTAACGAAGTTGGCTGCAGTCGTGCGAGTTCCCTTGTACACTGTTCTCGGCGCATGGCCACATCCATGAGGGTTGTTTCCATGGGTGAACATGTCATGATCAAGTGGGAGTCCCTTGTCAACCATGGAGTCCATGATAAGGTTGGAGATAGGAGCGAGATCGTGCGGCTCGATGTCGAGGTGGCCTTCGGTGCCATGGTCGGAAGACGCCTTGAACCAGTCCTTTCCGTGGAAGTTCTCAGCCTGCGCAAATTACATGTTAGAAAAGCAAGCTACTAATGAGAAGAGCGAAGCAATCAAAGGGCCTCGGGTTTACACACCTTGCGGATATACTTGAAGAAGTCTTCGCCACTCCAGCCCTCAGCGCCCCAGTCATCGTAGTCCTGCTTGGCGCCTCGAATGCATAGAGTACCATTACATCCTGAGCATCCACCGAGGAACTTGCCCCGACTAAGCTTCACTTGTCTGTTATTAACAGCAACCTTGGGTTCGCTGATGACGTTCCAGTCGGTTTCCTTGTCGAAGAGTTGGGACCAACTAGAATGCGAAGCAGAGCTTGTAAGCATTGAACGGTGAAATGAGTTGCAATTGCAGTTCTTTGACTCACCCCCCTGTCATATGAACATTCTCCAAGTCCTTGTTGTGTTCGCCAGCCTCAATGACAAGAACGCTGGTGTTGGGGTTCTCGGCAAGTCGGCTAGCTACAACGCAACCAGAAGTGCCGCCACTAGAAAGCAGAGACAGCCAGGTCAGTTTCCGAAGAGCCCCCAAAATTTGTGTCCAGTCCGATTGCCAAGGACCTACCCGCAAATCACGAAGTCGTAAACGAGATCTTGAGGAATAGAACCCATGTTGAAAACTCAGGACTAAAGTCGGGATGATTTCAGGAGAATATGCGAGAAAGCTTAGACAATGACAAGAAAAATGACCGATGCACCCCTTCGAGTGGCTAGGTCGCGGATTCTTGTATGCTCCCTCTCACGCAATGTCTTAGACCCGCGTCCGATTCTCGCTTTCTCCTCTCGCACGTATCGACCTCAACTCCCCCTCACCTGACATGCACCAACCTGCCATCTACCCCTTGAGTTTGCTGAACTTGCCCTCATACGACTGAGGAAAGCTGCGCCGTTGCCAAGTGATGCCCATCTTCTCCAAAAGGAAACTGAACCGCTTCACTGGCCGGTGGTTTCGGTGGTAATGGTCGCAACCTGCAGGGTCTGGCAGAACCATCTCCACCACGGCTGGGCCGATGTCTGGGGTCCCCGCACACGCAAAACAGCTTTAACCACTGTTGGTGCTAGGATTGCGTGTGTCTTCAGCGACTGTAGTGCATGAGAGCACCCACAGAAGTAATGCAGCAACCGGAAGCAACTCCGGGGTCGATCCTCTGAAGAATATGCACGAACTAAGCCCATTGTGAATACCCCAAGACCTTTTGTACAGCGCCAACGACGCTTCGACATGGAAACTGGCCGGCTCTATGCCGGGTTTCGCTGGGCGACAAACTACCGACCGACGATCATCATTAGTGAGACTTCATGAACCAATGAGAATGCTGGTTGCAAGGCATCGCAGGATGCAACTTCTAGGGCAGTCAAAATCTCTCACATTCACAGCCCAGAATGCGACAGTTACAGAAATTGCCCCTGGCCTAGAACGAAACGAAGGCAACAAACGGATAGGGAGGCTCTGAATATGATCCTCCTCAGCCGTGTTTGAATGGTTCCTCGTAGTAAGAAGGCTTGTCTCCTTCCTCTTTCAGTAGGGATGATGCGTACCAAGCTTCCTCAAGAGCGTTCAGGTTGCATCCTGCCATCGAATGCTCCGATACTGCAGGTCATGATCACAATTCGTAATTGGCATCGAACCATTAGGGTGAACTAATGCAACATCGTCGTTCTAGAAGACCCTCAATACTCAGCAGCAGATTTCTTGGTGATAATTCAGCGTCCTCACAACATGACGGTGAACGCGAGCAACTCGTACAGGAAGCACCCAAGAGTCGTGCTTTTTGAGTTGTGGAGACAAGTTGACCATTGGAGCCCGAGAACTTCCATCAAGGTCTGGGGTGCCTTTCTCCCCCGTGGGAAATCTGGAACGAGCAGAATTATGAAGCTCGGGATATGGGGCCGGACGGGAGTGGCGCCCACAACACTTCTAATTTTGACTGACTGTTCCCTTTCGCCGACCGACTGTGGGCCGTCTCCTCTGTTTACGCGACAAATCTGATAAGGGGGTTGAAGAGATCAGGGATTTCCCACAAGAGGAACCAAATCCGTGTCTGCATTCAGCTTTGACAGCATCGCCAACTAGCCTACCAAACACCTGGAAGATAAAAACTGTTGACCCATTTTACGGAAATTGTGAGCAATTGTCATGCGTGACTGTGAGACTTGCGGCTGATGGAGAATGCACACGTACCCTTCGTGGCCTGTAATATTTCGTAATATGGAGCGAGACCCCTGCTGGCAAGGCCATGCCCTTGGCGGTCTATCTTGGCGATAATACCTCGACCATTCTATTGCTTCCGTTTGGTCTGAGAAATTTTTCAAGTGGTCCTGCGGATCACCGCTCTGGCGGATGCTACGTTGTGTTGGACCAAAGACGCACGGAGACTGGGCCCTTTTCACCTCCAGCATACGGATACCTAGTACTTATGGGTTGAAAGTGAAGAGTCCAAATGGATAACATTGCTTGGCTGACATTTGCTCAGCCTATCTGATTCGTTGTGAATAGTGATGATCAGGGCGAGCTCAGACCTACCGGTGAGCCGCCAGGGAACTGTGACGTGCAAGTCAACGGTCGTATCCTTGAGAGGCCAGGCGAGCTGTCCAGATTTGGAAATGCCCAGTGGGCGCAGGAAATGCGCTATGCCTGCGATATGTGCAGAACAAGGACTTCATTGCTGCGCGATATCCATACTGTCACCGCCGAATTTTGGCATATATCGCTGCAAGAGCCAACATAAACAGCTGGACGACTCATATTCCATGCCCTCACGTGGTTATCGGCTGGAAGGAATATCGCGGCGGCCCGATTCTGTGCCAAGAAGTATGTTGATGCCTTGATCCTCTGGGAGCCTAATTAGAGCGATTTCTCCGTCGATCGCTGCCTGCCCAAACAGGAGAGGACGTTGCCAATTGTGACTTGCCGGAACTTCGGATCCAGGGATTGTCCTTTTCAGTAACACCCGCTGAAGACGTTATGTCGTTTCGGGGGCTACTCCCCTGTCAATCACACACAGGGGAAGCAGACTCGATCCTCGTTCAGATGGCGAAGAAACGTTGTACGTAAACACATTTTGATCTAAGGAATGCGGCTTTTAATCCGAGGCGCCCCGAAGACTCCCACCGGCCTTGTGTCGGTTACTTTGGTGGTTCTGACGGCTGTTGAAGGTGTTTTGCTTGGCTGGCCTCTTCACTCCCTTCGCGTCTTTTTCCTCTTTCACTATGGCGACTCCCTTCCAGACTGAGGCCTGGACTGAGTATGGTCTTGGTGTGATTGTCATTTTACTTCGAATATTCGCTCGCTGGAGAATTATCGGCTTCAATTGGCAAGGGGATGACTATTTTGCAGTTCTGTGCTTGATTTTCTGGACTGTAAGTCACACCAATTATATTCCAGACGTCTTGAACAGATTACTCACCTTAGCTGTATCTTGTAGTTAGAACTGTGTATGCTGGAGCTCATCGGTTGGTCTGTCCCTTCCCTGCAATTGTTCAGTTCGACGTCTAATGCGTGCCCTTTCAACAGGCCAAAATGGAACCAACATTGGGATTACCGACGAAATCGGCGCGACCCTGACACCCCAAGAAATCGCCAAGTTCGAATTTGGCTCTAAGTGCCTGCTGGCGGGATGGAACTTCTACGTTACTCTTATTTGGTGCTTGAAGGCTTGCATTCTCTTCTTTTTCAGCCGCATCACGTACGTCCTTCCTCCGTCCTTACCACTCTATGAGAAGTCGAGCTGAACATGGGTGTTCCCACAGTCTTGCGACAAGACAACAAAAGATCGTGAAATGGACTGCTATCGCGACCATTCTGGCATATTGCGGAGTAATTATTGTTATCTGGGGGCATTGTACACCCGTTCAAAGAAACTGGCAGGTTGTGCCATATCCAGGAGACGAGTGCACTTTGGCCGTTCCAAACTACTTGAGTTTGGTTGTTCTCAATGTAACGTAAGTTCTTTTGCTTTTGAATGTAATTTATGGGAAGGTTTTGGGGCTAATTGGGCTAACGATTATTCAAGGACTGATATGTGCATTGTTTCAATTCCATTGCCTCTTTTATGGACGGTGAAGCTCAGTATCAAACGCAAACTCGCCATTGGTGTCCTTCTGTGCTCGGGAGTTTTCGTCATGATCGCTGCCTTGCTACGCTGCGTTCTGTCGTTGAAAGATATCGACGGGATCAATGTCAGCACCATCTGGGCCATCCGAGAAACTGTAAGCAACATCTATGCTTCGGAACCCCGAAAAGTACTGACTTGTTGTTCCCTGCCAGTTTGTTGGCATTATCGCCGTGAACGCAGCTTGCATCAGACCTCTCTTCTCTTCGGCTCACTGGCTCAGCTCGAGCAAGGGCAGCAGCAGCGGGGCCATGAAGTACACCGGATCAGGTGATAAATATGGTCACCAGCTGGTCACGATTGGAGGCGGCGGCCAGAGCACCGATCGCTCCATGCCTGCAAAGAGGAGGCACAACAAGTACAACATGACCGAGTTTGATAACAACTCAAGCGAAGAACACATCGTCAAGTCTTCCGAATCCGCCAATTGGCCCCAGGCTAGCGGTGACCGCGATGGAAGCTTGACAAGTAAGTCTAGTGGTCAGCATGGTGGAATCATGGTCACAACTACGTACGAGGTAAAGCCCGGAGAAAGCCAGCGATGAATGTGTGACAGATTATCTCATCTCGCGCGAATCTGAGTTCCCGGAACGAAGAGGATCCGATGAGAGAAATGGAAGGCAGGCAACTTACGTCCTTATAATCAAGCTAAGAGCTAGCTATTGTACCTTTCATTAATACTCACTTGCGATACCCATCAACGCAATATCAGTCATTCAACGTGCATCTTAGGTTGGTGCGCACTTAAGGGTGTCTAGCACGTGTTGCTTGATGACATCGTAGCGTACTAGTGACGTTCGGAAGATTGCCGAATACGATTATTTACACGAGCTGCTGGCCCTTCCTGTACCTGCATATTGACGCTGTTTGTATGTTCGCTTTGATTGGCACGGGAATGAATGGCAGGCGAGCATTACCCTTCTGAGATCGGATCTGAAGGATGACTCGCAGGCTGCATTTAGCCGGCGGGGTGTCCAAGTAATTAGACGTGATGGACGGTTGACGATCGTAGCCTGCAAGCCATTTTGAGAATCGTCCTTTGTTTCTCCACGAATGTGAAGTAGACTTTGTTGCCCAGAGTAGGGCGTCGGGGATGGGCGCAGACATACCTACCCCACACACTTCGTCTTCCCCGCAATGCAACTACTCCTCATTGCATCGGTTGATCGTCAATACGAGCGTCGGATTTTGACCAGCAATCAGAATGGAGCTACGAGGTAGGTGTACACGAGAGGCAGAAGTGCAGTGTCATCAGAGGTAGTCGACTTACGAGCGAAAATCTATAAAATGATACTGATGCCTTGAAAGGTCTACCAAGGGAGTTAGTCGTCTATTAAGGCTAATTTCGCAACTTCCAAAGACACACAAGAGACAATGACGCTTGCACATGCCTTCTTTATTGCAGCATTGCTTGCCACCGCAAGCAACGCGATATCCTCTTTTGATGGAAGTCGTTACCTTTGGTATACAAAACCAACAACAGAATGGGAGCAGGGAGCTCTTCCTATCGGCAATGGACGACTTGGGGGAACTGTTTGGGGAGGTGCAAACGAAACCCTCACCATCAACGAAAATACCATCTGGTCCGGTCCTATTCAAGACCGAATTCCTCTCAACGCCTTGACGACCCTACCTGTGGCTCGTGAGCTGTTCCTCTCTGGCAAAATTACTGAAGGCGGCCAGCTTGTGTTGCGGGAGATGACCCCGGCCGAGAAATCCGAACGTCAGTTTGGATATTTCGGCAATTTGGATCTTGATTTCGGGCACAGCGGTAACTTGGAGAACTACGTGAGGTGGCTTGACACAAAGCAGGGTAACTCGGGCTCCTCGTACGCTTTCGACGGAGTTAACTTCACGTGTGTATAGTATTTTCCGCGGATTGAATACTCTCAGTCTAACGATTTTGAATGATAGGCGGGAATTCGTTGCCAGCTACCCAGCTGGGGTGCTCGCCGCTCGTTTCACTTCCAGTGAGGAAGGTGCTCTCAACCTCAAGGCTAGCTTCAGTCGACTCGCAAACATTTTGGTCAATGTTGCATCTACTGCAGGCGGTGTCAACTCGGTAACCCTGATGGGCTCTAGTGGACAGCCTCTTGATGAAGACCCAATTCTGTTTACCGGTCAGGCTCGTTTCGTGGCACCAGGAGGTATGCAAAGCCCCTAAAATATGTTCGGTATTACGCGCTCGTTCTGATATGAAATAGCGAAGTTCGAAAATGATGGTTCCGTTCTCAGGATCACAGGAGCTACAGTAATTGACCTGTTCTTTGACGCAGAGACTAATTATCGCTTCGCGTCTCAGGAAGAATGGGAGGCTGAGATTGAGCGCAAGCTGAACGCTGCACTGAGTAAGGGGTATTCAGACCTAAGGGATGAAGCCCTTGAAGACTCCAGCAGTCTCCTAGGACGGGCCTCAATTTATCTTGGTAGATCACCACGAGGACTTTCTGCGTTACCCACGGATGAGAGAGTCGTCATAGCACGGAACGATTCAAGTGATGTTGAATTGTCAACTCTCACTTGGAATCTCGGCCGCCACATGCTCGTTGGAGCCTCACGAAACACCGAAGCCGACATAGATATGCCCGCGAATCTCCAGGGCATCTGGAACAACAAAACCACGGCTGCTTGGGGCGGAAAGTATACTATAAATATCAACACCGAGATGAATTACTGGTCTGCCGGCCCAACGAATCTGATCGAGACACAAGAACCTTTGTTTGACTTGATGAAAGTCGCCAACCCAAGAGGCAAAGCCATGGCGAAGGCCATGTATGGTTGTGACGGCACAATGTTTCACCACAATCTGGACGTTTGGGGCGATCCGGGTGCCACTGACAACTACACATCTTCTACCATGTGGCCTATGGGCGCCGCATGGCTTGTACAGCATATGGTGGACCATTATCACTTCACGGGTGACAAGGCATTCTTAGAAGATGTTGCATATCCCTTTCTCATCGACGTGGCTACGTTCTATGAGTGCTATACCTTTGAACACGAGGGCTATCGAATCACAGGTCCTTCGCTGTCACCAGAGAACACTTTTGTCGTCCCGAGCAATTTCAGCGTGGCTGGTCGCTCAGAGCCAATGGATATCGACATACCCATGGACAACCAACTCATGCACGACGTTTTTAGTGCAATCATCGAGGCGGCGGACATCTTGGGAATTGATAATACCAACCAAGATCTGAAAAAGGCTAAAGATTTCTTGACTCTCATCAAGCCCGCGCAGATTGGGTCCAAGGGCCAGATCCTCGAATGGCGCTATGAATACAAAGAATCGGCACCTAGTCACCGTCATCTTTCACCTTTATACGCTCTGCATCCCGGGAAAGAATTCTCACCATTGGTCAACGAAACGCTGTCCGAGGCCGCTCAGGTTCTACTTGACCGTCGCAGGGATGCGGGATCAGGAAGCACAGGGTGGAGTCGCACATGGATGATCAATATGTACGCTCGATCGCTCCGGGGAGCGGATGCATGGGAGCAGGTGAAGGGGTGGTTCGCTACGTTTCCCACCGCGAACCTATGGAACACAGATAAGGGATCAACATTCCAGATTGACGGAAACTACGGGTTCACGAGCGGTATCACGGAAATGTTGCTTCAAAGTCACACGGGTACTGTGCATATTCTTCCTGCTTTGCCGGGTGAAGCCGTGCCAACCGGCAGTGCAAATGGATTAGTCGCAAGAGGCAACTTCATTATTGACATTGAATGGGAGAATGGTGCTTTCAAGCGAGCAGGCATAACGTCGAAAATTGGAGGTAGGCTGAAGCTTCGAGTTGGAAATGGTGAGAGTGTTCTCGTCGATGGGGAGAAGTACGCCGTTGAGATTAGCACGAGCGAAGGCCAGGTTTTGGAGATAACACCAGCTTGAGCTCATTCATGTATGCGGGTGTTCACAGACCAGGTAATGCACTTGGATTACCTTAAATAATGCAACTAGCTTCATAGCTTTTAGTTCGTGGAGATGGAAGTACGCGGCCACCTTATCAGTGATCATCAATCTTGACGAACCATCAATTCGCTCATCAGGCACAGCTTGACGTACACTTCTGAAAAGGGATCTCCAGTAGCGAACTTCGCTGTGTTGTACGTCAGCACCCGGATCTTGCCGGAATACTGAGCTTGGTATGGACTGAACTGAAAAAAGAAAAAAAAGAAAGAAAACGGTTAGAGGGGTAGAAGAAGACTCGACGCTAAGTACAAGACCAAATGCAAAAATATAGAGTCTGCTGTGTCTAGGAAAAGGATTCTATACATCTATATGCTACTAGCTAAAGGTCATTCAAGTGAGGTGTACGTGCTTCAGCAGCGTTCGGCCCATCGCCTTCGACGTTCTAGCCGCGACAGCAACAGCGACTCCATTCATGACGGAGGGATTTAAGGCATCCGCAAACTCAGATTTCATGAGAGCCTTTGTAATATACTTCCGCCTGTCTATTCCTTGACGTTCTGACTGCCATATTTGAGGAGCTGCGTAATGCGTCCAGCCAACGAAGTCAGTCGCGGCGTGGGGAATGCGATAATAATGCAACCTTGCCTCTTGCAGCGGACCAGCTTGTGATTGTTTCACAAAAAATAGCAATGACTCTGTTGCGTGTTGGAATTCCGAAGAAAGCTTTATCTTCACCATCGCTCCCAAAACGTTCGGAGCTTTGTTGACTGTATCTTCAAACCAGTAGGACTCAGCATCCTGACACCCGCTAAGGTTCAAAGCCGATCTTTCGAAGGGAATATCGATTATGCTTGAATTAGTCAAGAATCTTCCCCTCGGAAGCGTTTCAATTTCGACAAATTTGTTCCTTTCATCAAAAGACAGCAGAACCCCAGCTTTGGCTGACGTCGTTAATGAAAAGGGCGTTGCTTCGCTTACACGACCACCCGTTCTGTTCGTTGGCATAAACATATGCATGGGATGAGTTCTCAGCTCTCTTGTGGGACAAAGATGAACCGGGACTCCTGGATAAGGACATCTGACAAATCGACCTGTGTTCGGGTCCCCTGACAGTAACACACCTGTATCTTCGTTCTTGTGTATGGTTTCAACATTGAGAATGCCGATGTATGATGACCAACATGATAGAGTTCGAAGTTGAATCGATAGCCCCGCGTTCGTCATGCTGTACGGCTGTGGCATATTGCTTTCTCGAGGGGTGAACTGAGATGCTTCTTTGAAGGCATGTGGGCGAGACGACAGGAGACTTCCCGTGCCAGAAAAGGCAGACCAAGACCAGCAGAACAAAGAATGATCATCTGAAACCTTCAGGATCTCTTCTTGGAGTCTCATGAAAGCCCGCGACCCCTCCCCGTATACCAAGGGCATAGATATGCCGAAAATTCCGAGCATACAGTATGCCATATCCTCAAGTCTGGTGGTCTCGCGGCGAGCCAGCCATGAAAGTCTTTCCCCGACGGATGCTTGAAAGGCTGGATGATAGTGGTCACCTTCCCACTGATCTTGCGACCACCCATACTGTGATGCTTTTGAGTTGAAATATTCGACGTCGATGCCTGTGGCCGAAGATATGTGATGCGCCAGAGATGATCTTGTGCCAATGAGCGACCAATCGGCTGCGTAGAACAAAACCTCTCTAGGAGCCAAGAGCTCCTGTAAAGTCCAACCTCTTGTGAACCATCGACTGCGGGAAATTTCCTCTGCGTTGGAGGAATGCCCAAATGTTGGTATATCGGAGAGATACGCAAAGCACACCCCCGAATGAAAGTACCAAGAGAACATCGAGTTGATGGCTTCAGTAAGTTCTGATGAGCTGTTTTTATTGATACAATTCGTATCAACCCACAGGAACTTGAAACCCGCCACCCGTGCTTGCGCGCATGCGTCCACAATCTTGCTGTATCCTGGTTTCTGAGAAGCTGGAGATCGGTCGGCCCAATCCTGAAATGTCACTTCCCCGCAGCTCCAAGTATGTGACAAAATGGCGTAGCCAGGAGTATCGCTGCCGAAGAATTGCTCGAGTTCCAGAGTTTGCACGTTGATAAGCCACATAATGTCGGAGGTGTATCGCCCTTCAAGACCCAAAATGAAATCAAGTGTATGCTGCAGATCAATAGCTGTGACTATCGCGATAATTGCCAAAGGATATTATGTGAGAGTGAGATTTGATACCTGTCGGTGGGTAATGCATTAGAAGTCAGACCAACCGCGTAGTGATGACCCCTCAACTCTGGGGCTCCATTGATCCTTTGATGCAAGCTAGCGGGGTCCAACCACACGGAAGCCTGCCAGCAATATGTCTTGCCCCGGCGGAAACACCGATCCGCCGACATGAAGCTGTCACTATCTATTCTGAGGGAACCACGAGCTTTTGATGTACTACAATGTAATCGATTGCATCTCAGGGGACTTGAACGTGCCGCCGACATTGCCGACTGCACACGTTGAATTGCCATTGGAAGATCGAATGAGAGCTCTCACATCCGCAATAACGGCCGTCAAATATCGAGTCAAGGAGCACCCGAATTAACGATGTTCATCGTCCGAGCTCCGGCGATCCGGCCCATAGCCCTGTCCGCTCCGACGATGACTTGACAGGGGCTCCCAGTATCCACAGACATCGTCTGTTAAAACGGTTTCTTGGGGCTTTGGGCTCAATGAGATTGTCAATAAAGTTGAGACAGCTTGATGATAGGTAGAATTTCTCCCCTATGCTTTTAAGATACAATGCAGCAGAGCTGGTGTTATCCTACCTGCCAGGCACATGCGCCTGAAAGGACCTATTTCCATCTCGTTCATCCCGCCGGGAACTCTGGGCCACCACGTACGCACATGAATCCCATCGGGACGCACCAAATGTGAAATGTGCACTACTGTGCAAATGAACTGCTAATACTTCAGACACTGTAATACTTCTCGATTAAGAACAAGCCAAGTACTTTGCATAAAGGGAACCTATAGCCGTCCGCTGTGTGCTGTTACGGCAATGGTGCCCCTTTTCCAGACCGCATAACATTCATCAGCCGACATCCACAATTGCTTACCTGCCTCGTATCGAGAGTCAGCCTAGCAACTAAGCTCGTGCGAGTCCCACTCTAGATCCCTGCGAATGATACCAACCCACGATTACTTTGCTATTTTCGAGGGTCAACACCGACGAAACCCACAATAACTTCTTATCGGTTCGCCCGGACAAGCAGCATCAGGGGAGAGGTGTATTTACTCGATGCAACAATGGACCGATGGGTTATCCCCATGGTCCACCTTCAGCCTCCGGTTTGAAATAAGACTCCGTTTTCCCCGGAATCAATCTTTCACATCTTTTGGTCCCAACGATCTCATCGTCCACGACCAGTCACTCGTTTTTTCCGACGTCAACCAACCAGACGGTAATAATACTCATAATATTAATCTGTCAATATGTTGTCAGCGAAGGCCATCACCACCCTCTTCAACTTCATCCTGCTGGCCTCCGCGGCCCCTGGAAAGCGTCAATCTACCGGCGCGGGATCCTGCACCGACCTTCACCTCTTCTTCGCTCGTGGCTGGAACGAAGGCTACCCTGGACGCCAACAGTCGCTTTATGAGGCTACCTGCACCGGCCTTTCCAGCTGCGACTACGAAGACATCCTTTTCGATGCGTCAAACCCCTCGGGTTACCCTAATGCAGTTGAGGAGGGCCGAACCTCCGGTGTTGCCCAGATCAAGGCCTACGTTGAGAAGTGCCCCGATTCCAAGATCGTCCTGAGTGGCTACAGCGAAGGTGCCAATATCGTTGGCGACATTCTCGCCGATTCCGGCCTCGATGCCACTTCCACGCCCGGCAGCAAGGGTAAGTTGGATGGAATAATGTTCTAAGAAGTCGGTTGCTGATCTGTCTCAGTTTGCGCTGCACTCCTTTTCGGTGACCCGACCCACATTGCCGACCAAAGCTACAACGTCGAAGCCGGATCTACCTACAGCGGCCAAATGGCTCGCTCTAGCTCGTCCCTCGCCAACCTGAATAACTTTTCCAGTGTCCTGCGCTCTTGGTGCAACGGCGAGGACACCGTCTGTGCCTATGGTGACGGTACTCGCACGATGGGCGAGGATGCCCACACCAACTACTTCCAGCTGTACACAAATGATGGCGCGACCTACATCAAGGAGAAGTGCGTTCCCTCCGGAACCACCCCGACCGCGACCGCGACATCCAGCATTCCCGCCCCGACTTCTACCGGTTCCTTCTGCACTTCCGGCAAGGTCAAGTCCGGCCTGTCGGACAACTACAGCGGCCTCTGTGCCTTCGCTTGCTCCAACGGATACTGCCCCGACGGTGTCTGTGAGTGTGCCTCTTACGGCGAGCAGACTACCAGCCCGGGTGGCGATGGACGGGACGGATGCCCCGCCACCGGACTTGACGACAGCTACAAGGGCCTTTGCAGCTTCAGCTGCAGCCACGGTTACTGCCCTACCGGCGCTTGCCAGTACTGTTAAACATTCGGGATTGAGTTAATGACGGTGCGATGGAATGCTATGGATTACGAATTTGAGATTGAAAGTTTGAGGAAATTAAACCAATCAGGGGCACTCTCTGTCATGTAGACTGTTTCGAAATTTGAAGGACCGTAATGACTCTCCAGCTCATTGACAGAAACACTCCTGAAGTCCTACTCTATGGAACTGGATGTTTGTAGTGGTTGGCAGCAAAATAGCTTCTTTACCACTGAATTTGTACATGATGCAAACGAGGCAAAGTGACCCTTGGAATCTAGCCCGCGCATCGACGCCTTGCCCGTGCAGCTCTACGACGGAGTGGGGAACCTTGTTTGTCAATTCGTGGTAGATTGGATGTTTACAATGAAACCACCACTCCAGCGTTGCGATGCTGCGCATCTCAATGATAGAGCGGCAAGCAGGTTTTGCGTAATTCAGGAGGTCATTTCAATGATCCCCATTGCCCACAAGCATGTCACGATGATGGGCCTGGCTTAGGCGTCAGACCAATTGGAGGCTCCAGTCTTTGTGATGATCGTGATCTACCCGCCTCCCCGGGACTCCCGGCACAACCACCGGGGCTGTCTCGCTGGATCGGAGTGACGAAGGCCCGGGCGCAGGCGCAGGCGCAGGGAAGATCTTCCAGATCAGTGAAAATTTAGGCCAACCTGCCAAGCAATGTACAAATAGTGGGCTCGAGTGTACAAACGCCGAAGCCAGGGCGGGCTCACGATGTGGTTGACAATCACAGCTGGAGCCCCGCCAGCTGGCAATTGAATGAGCTTGCGCGAAGATGCAGAGCGGTGGCTGAAAAGCTCTGCACCAAGTGGAGAGCAACAACACAGCATGGAAGATGGGGCCGCGGCAGTCAGGCGTGGGGGTTGTTGAAATCCTATGGTATTCCCGGGAGCCAGCGGTGCGTGCTTGCAGTGTTTGCTTGGATGGATGTGGACATGGGTCTTGCTGAGAGCGCGACAGCCCCATGTGAATGAAAACTAACATGGAAGAAATGCCTTGTCAATCGTGTGTCGAAATCCTCTCGAGCTTGATAGGCAAACAGTTCGTTGGCCTAGCCATGAGCCAACTGATGCTCATAATGACGGCACGCCAGCTGCAAGAAATTCTGTGCGTCCTGGTGTGTGGAGCCGAGACGCCGGCTGGATCCCATGACCAGCAAACTCCGGTCGCAAAAAGCGGGATCCCGATCTTGTCGTTCATGGCGGCTCAACCAGGCGGGCACGTTTCAAGCTGCAAACCCAGGACAGCCTGGTGACAACAAACACTTGGTTCAGCGCGGCGCGATCTGTTACTTCAGTTGACGTCAGCCGCGTCAAAGACATCCAATGCTCCTCATCCTTCAGTGGTGCTTCCTTGAGGCTGCGACCGGTGATCCTTATCATCCCCTATCGCTTATCCACATGTTCGCGGTCCCGGTATTCCGTTGTTCGTTTTGCTTCCGCGCCGAAACGTGTGGCGAGCGTCTCCTCAATTCTCATCCTTTCAAACGACAAAAATCAGCTATACTGCCTCAATATCCAGTGGGCCGACGTTTCTAATTTTATGTCGATGGCTGATGATCGACAGTAATCGCCAAAGCCGTTCCGCTGTTCCTGCAGGACAGAACTCTCTTTGACGATTCGGACAATTCGTGAAGGCAAGCGAGGGAGAGGTGCCAGGCCTCTGGGAGCAGCCATAACTCTATCAAACTCATGTCAGACGAAGTAGCTCCCGTCCTCCCGACCTGCTCATGTCACCCCAACTTCCGATGCAACAAATTTGCCAGGTTGTCGCGTCTCTTCACCTGCAGGCGATGGGATGGAGGGAATACAGGGGCCTGCTATCCCTGCCACAATCGCTAAACGTCTTGTTGACATCACCGATGGCCATGGGATTCCCTGCCACCCACGCACGTTTTGCGGGGCGAGACAAACCGCCAACGTCTTGGCCCGCAGAACCAACAGGGAGTGCTTCCCTCCCTGATGTCATTAACCCACCAACCGTCTGTCGCAATCACGGCACAACGGCATCGCAGCGCCTAAACAGGCATGGCATTCTCACGGCGGACGGTCTAGGCTCTCCATTTGTTCGCCAGCCAGGCCTGGTGGAAGTGTGGAAATCTCCCAGGAAAACCGGGTTGTGCATCTCGGCCCTTCCTCATCGCCAACGATTTCGAGCTATTGACTGCAGAGAGGAGAACACAAGACACACACAGTCACCGCCCAGCCGCGTAGTACGCGTCAGACTGGAGCTGCTGCCCAGCCTTGGTACCATCAAACGGGAGGTGAACATGGATTTCAACTGACACAGGCGCAAAAGCTCCGGCTCGGTTGGTTCGACCTGGTCCACAAGGATGATGAAATCTGTGGAGGGCGATGAAACCGCCCGTTTCGGTGACCGATCTTTATGTTCCAACGTCTTTTAAGACGGCTGAACGCCCCGCTGCGTTTCTCACGATGGTTCTGGTTACTAACGAATTATCTTAATTTTTGTCCGGTTGCTTTTGAAATGGCGCCGTTGCAGAGTCGCCTTCTAGCTGGCTTCGGCCTCATCTCTGCAGCATTCGCCGCCGACTCAGT